TTTTTTTTTTTCAGTGGCCCTAATCCTCTTCCGTAAGATTTAAATCTTTTCCAGAGTGTATATTAAAATAAACATGCTGTCAGTGAAAGCTCCTTCTGTATCTCTGCTGGGATTATAAAATCCAGTGGTTTAGAATTTGAGTATCGCCTCTATATATAAATTTATTAGCATAAACACAATGATGACGAAGGCCTTTTGATAAGCAGGAAATCATTTCCGTAAAGCCGTGTTTGCTTTTCTCTACCTGCACAGTGCCGCAGTCGCACTGCTCGCCTTTTTCCTTGAAGCCGTTCCCACAGACGGCAGGAGCTTGGATCCTCATGTAGTCGGGTTTGTCCAACAGGCAGCTGGGGCTGCGGGTTGTCAGGTATCTTTCATAGTTGCTGCTGCTGCAGCTGCTGAACGACCGCGGGATGTTCCAGCTGCAAAACGACAGATCAGCTGCATTAGTAGAGCCTTTACTGCTCACTCAGGCAATACATTCATCCGTTTGATTTATTTTTGGGATTAGATCAGTCATTAGATCAGTTTAATGTGATAAGTGGACCCAGAGGATCTGGTTCTGAACCCTGAGCACATCCATTGACCCCGACGCACCAACACTGATTGACGATCAGACGAAGTACGCTCGTTAAACACGACGATGGCATCAAACACGCTTTAGATACAAAAGCAGGATAGCAACTAACGTGCCTTAAATGGTCTAAATAAAGCCTGGGACATGTAGCCTGAAATATAAGACAACCATATTAGCAGTTTATTAGCAAATAAGGTCAATTTTGGGGTGAGTTGCCCTTTAAAGGTCCCCAGTAAGGCCGAACTGCTTTCTATGACCTTTAGCTCAAAATGCAGGATTTTAGGATGGATTAAAGCCTAAACTGGATGATGCTAAAGCTAACACTGATACTGAAAACATGGTGAGAGATTTCTGAAACCTTCTGTTGGTGAAAAATAAAGAGATGTCGAACCTCAGATATTGATCGATGCTTTAAATTAAGGGATAAGTCTGAATTATTCCAGTAACAGTCAGTGACTGACTGTTGACCTTCAGCTTTTCCACCCGATGATCTTTACTCTCTTTTCAACTAAATATTCTGCAAAATGTTTTATTCAAAACAGACAAACTCCTTCAGGTAATGATCCTTTCCTCTTGTAAAGTGGAAATTACCGGCACATTTCAATCACGTGCTTTTATTGTGGTAGAGAAGAACCACATGTTGGATCTAAAGATATTCCTGACCTGCTACTTGGACAGTAATAGACTTCCTGGTTCATCTGCTACAGGTTGATGCATTAAATGCATTGACTGACTCCCAGCAGGCATCTGATAACATCAAACAATAAAGGTAAAGGCAGCATTGGTAATGACATCAGCAGATTAAACAGGTAGAGGACTGCAGGTAAACACGGCCATCTTTGACAGAATCTCCATCTGACCTGATTTAACAAACGCCTTTAGACTGAGATGTTCGGGCCCCTCCCTTACCTGAGGGCCGCAGCCATGATGCAGCTGTCCCCGGAACAAATGCAGGTACTGGAGTCGTCATGGCTCATGCCCAGGTTGTGGCCCATCTCGTGGGCTAGAGTAGCTCCCACTGCGATGGCTCGGTCATTGTGATCCTGAAGCAGATGTCAGATTTTCTTTCTGTTTAGTCCGTATTTAACACCCAGATTAAACAATCACTTCTGCTGACTGTTAGCGCCGTTAGCTCCAGCTCACCTGTACTACCCCGACTGAGTGGTCGGTGCAGAGGGTCCCAATGAAAGCCAGACCCACAGTGGAACCTTCAAAGTCGATCCCACTGAAAGACAGGAAGAGACATTCCATTCTAAAAGTGCT